ATTTATTCTGAAATGTTGTGTATATTTATTATATTAAATTAATATGATGAATGAATATCAATATTATTGTTTATTTGATTTTAAAAAATAATAAATGAATATGAAATAATGAAATAAAATAATGAAGACAATGAAATGATAATGAAATAGAATAATCTAATATTGAACAAATCAAATAAAGAATATATTGAATATATCATTATTGTTACTTTATTATTTATTATTTCAATTATTAAATATTAATAAATTATTATTCATGAATATTTAATTGATATTTTACAATTTCATTTTCATTTTATTTAATAAATGAAATATAAATAATAAATGAATGAATAATAATTTAATATATGAAATAATAAAAAGAAAGATCAATAATAAATAAATATGATGTATTTAATACATAATATAATTTATTATCAAATATAATAATATCAAATGATGAATTATTTTTATTTCAAAATATTTTGCATCAATAAAATATGTTGCTAAATATTTTGCATCATTAAATTTTGCATCATTAAATTTTGCGCTTTTTTTATTTGTTTCAATAAAATTTGCATCCTTTATTTTTTCATTCTTTTCTTCTTTTAATATCTCTTTTGTTTTATTACACTTTATCTTCTTTCTTTTTATATTCTCTCCTTTCTACTTTTATTCTTTCTTCATCTTCTTCTACTTTTTACTTTCTTTTTATTCTTTTTTATCTTTCTCTTCTTTTTTTTCTATTATTTCTTTTTTTTCGTTGCCTTATTTATCTATTTTATTTTTATGTTGAATAAAATATGATAAATAAATATAAATCATCAGTAATATATCAAAATGATACAATTACATATTGTAAATAAATGAAAATAATAAGAAATGAAATAAATAATGAAATATCATATATTTAAATGAATAATAAAATAAATGAAAATATAATAAAAATATTATTATTTTTATTTTATCAAATTATCATTGTTTTATTTCATTTCATATTTATTATCATTATAATTTAAACTGATTAATATTGTTATTTCTTATTATTAATAAAATAAAGAATATAATTATATTTATATTGATTCTTCATTATTATTCATTTCTATTTCATTATTCTTATGATTTATTTTATATTTGAATGAATTAAATAACAAATATTATATGAATTAATACAATAAAAAAGAAGAATATAAAGAAAATACAGAAGAGAGAAATGAAATAATATTTAAATTAGATAAGAAAGAAGAGTAAAAAAAGAATAAAATTATTACAAAACAAATATAAAGAATGAAATATCATTTAATAAGAGATGAAATATCAATTCAACATATTGAAACAAATAAATAATATGAAATAAATTAAAAATGAATAAACATAAGATAATAATAATTAAATAGATGATGAATGATTTTATTATATTTCATTCATTTGATATTTCATTCTTTATTTTATTATCATTTAATTTGTTTATGATGTATTTATTATCATTTAAATTATAAAATGAAATTTGTTTTTATTCTTTAACAATTCAATTATCTTATTTCTTCATAAAAATATTCTTCAAAGCAATATTCTGGTATTGATTTATTCTTCTTTAATTCTTCTTCACATCCACATCCATAAAAACATCCATTTCTAAATGATGTAATTGATGATGGTATATTAATTGATATTAATGATGTACATTTATAAAAACATCCACCTCCTATTTTACTAACATTTGTTGGTATATTAATTGATGTTAGTGATGAACATCCATAAAAACAATAATTTCCTATTTCACTGACACTTGTTGGTATATTAATTGTTCTTAATGATGAACATTCACAAAAACACCAATATCCTATTTCAGTTACACTTGTTGGTATATCAATTGATTTTAATGATGAACATCTAGAAAAACAACAATATCCTATTTTACTAACATTTGTTGGTATATCAATTGTTCTTAATGAATAACATCCATAAAAACAATAATCTCCTATTTTACTAACATTTGTTGGTATATTAATTGATGTTAGTGATGAACATTCACAAAAACACCAATATCCTATTTTGCTTATACTTATTGGTATATCAATTGATTTTAATGATAAACATTCTTTAAAACAATAATCTCCTATTTCAGTGATTGATGATGGAATAATAAATTCATTAATATCTTTCTTTTCAATATGCTTTCCATTTATCATTTTTAAATTCTTTGGTATTTCAATACTAATTAACACTGGCTCATTCATAAATATTCTTTCTTCACTTATATATTTCACATCTTCTATATTAATTGATGTTAATGATGAACATTCTTCAAAACATCCATTTCCTATTTCACTTATACTTGTTGGTATATTGATTGATTTTAATGATGTACAATATTTAAAACACCAATACTCTATTTTACTAACATTTGTTGGTATATTAATTGTTTGTAATGATGAACATCCAGAAAAACAACAATATCCTATTTTACTTATACTTATTGGTATATCAATTGTTCTTAATGAATAACATCCACAAAAACATTTATCTCCTATTTCACTGATACTTGTTGGTATATTAATACTTGTTAATGATGTACATTGATAAAAACATTCATTTCCTATTTTACTTACACTTGTTGGTATATTAATTGATTGAATATCATTACATCTATAAAAACAATTAATTCCAAGTGAATTAACTTCTATTGGTATTGTATTTCCATATTCTTCTCTATCATATATTGTATATTCGATATTTTTATATTCATTCTTTTCTTTTTTCTCTTCTAAATATCTTGAATAACTCACATCATACCATATTACGTATTTAAATATTTTTCCATCTTCAAATATTTTATCATATCCATTATAAATATGAAATGTTTCAATATTAGGAAATAATTTTCTTGAATATTCATTCAATGGAATTGGATTAAAATGAAATCGTTCCATATTTCCTCTAAATCTTTTAATTCCAATTTCTAAATTAATAAAATCATTAATATCTTCAAAATACTTCGAGACAATCATTATTTCATTATATCCTAATTGCATTCTTTCTTATTATTTTATTATTTATTAGTTCTTCTTTTATTTTTAGTTTGAACTTAATTTATTTTTAAGATAACCGTCATTCATTTTTTCTTTTTATTCTTTTAATATAAATTATTAATAACAAATAATTTCTATTTCAATAAATTATTATTTATTATTTATTTGATGAATATGAATAAATAAAATATCATAGAAATGAAATATTACAAATGATAAATATTCAATTAATAAATATATTAATAAATTGATAATATGAATAATAAAGAAATGAATAAATCAATGAATGTAATGTATTTATTTCTATCTTTCTTTATTTCTATCACTTCAATTTTAGAAAAAGACAAAAAAGATGCATTACAGAAGACACCACAAAAAATATAGAAAAACAAATAACCAAAGAAGAAGAAATTCACATCAACCAAGAAATATAAATGATAGAAGAATGAGTGAAAATAGGTATTATCTGTATTGACAGAGATACATGAATAATCACACTAACCATTACAATAATAATTATTACCATAAATATCACAATATAGATGATACAAATTATTTCACTCATCACTTCATTCATAATCATCGTCATAAACACTTTAATAAAAATTTCAATAGAAATAAACAATACTATCATGATAGAAACAAATACCATAATAACACACAAAGAAGATATATACAATATCAAAATAAGAAACAAAACAGAAAATAAAGAAAAGAAATGATTGAAATACAAAACCAAGAATATTGGAAAAGACTCATTGAAGAAGAAATTAAAATACTTACACCACAAGAAGTAGAAGAAATTAAAAATACCAAGATTAAAGCATATACATCATCAACAATATAGAGGAGATGGTATTTTTCTTGCACGAGAAAAAACAATCAGAATAGAAGAAGAAACTATTAGTATGATGATTGAAGAAGACAATAATCAGTACAACCCAATTGAGATTAAAGACAATAGAATATACAATAACTATTTAATGAGTATTGAAAGTGAAGAAGACGATGATAAAGAGTTTAATAAAAAGAAAAAGAAGAGACTGGTAGAAAAGGAAGAAAACAAAGAATTTAATAAAAAGAGTAGAAGAAATAGAAAAGAAAGTGGAGGAGGATATGAAAGAGAAAGAAGAAATGAAAAAGGAAATACAAATAAAAGACCAAACCATAAAAAAACTAACTAAGGATATTATGGCATTAAAGAAGAAGCATGAGAATGAGATAAACAAAAAACCACGAGTGTGATAAAAATATTCAAATTCAATGCTGAATCTGAAAGGAAAAGGTCTGAAGTAAATAATTTAACACAACAATTATTATTCATGAAAGATAAATTATCTAAATTACAAAATGAAAATACACAAGAAGAAAAGAAGAAAGAAGAGATAAATTACAATATAACAGACTCATCTGAAACACAGATTGTGAATGACCTCTCCCCTAATGTGGTAGTAGCTGATGAAATATCATCAAGTGAAGATGATCTTCCAAAAAAGAAAGTTAACGCAGAAATCAATTGAAGAAATGGATATTCAGCATAAGAGGAACACCACATTTGAATTAGACAATCAAAAAAACGGGGGAAGCAAACAGATAGAGAAGAAGAAAATTTAACACTTTATAAATGTTTTGCTTTGAAATTATTTGAAAGAAAATTAAGATGTCAATTAAAAGAAGAAATAATAGAAAGATTAATACAAGAATTTGAAATTAAAGTAAATGATATTAATGAATATAAAGAAATAATAAAGAAGACATTTAAAATAAAGAATGAAAATAAAAGAGAAATAAATAGAATAATGGAGGAAGAAATAATAAAACATCAATGGAAAGATAATGAATTAAAAGAAATAATAACCAAAATGAACAATAAAGAAGAAATAGAAGAAGAGGATATAATGAAAATATTTAAAGAAGAAGAAATGAAAGAACAAGAAGATGTACAATTTATTAACTATTATTACAATAAGAAGAAAATACATCAAATAATTAATATTATTAATAAAAATGAAATAATAATCAATACATTAGATGATTATTATCATTATATTAAATCTGTAGCTTCCACTATTAATATTATTAATAAAAATGAACAAGAAAGAAGTGGAAAGAAAAGTATAGAAAGGATATTACAATCAAAAATATGTAGAATAAGAGATTTACTTAATAATAAACAATATATGAAATTAAAAAGAATATTACATATTAAGAAATATGATATATATCATATTAAAATAAAAACAAATAAACAAATAAACTATTATAAATACCTCCGAAAGATGAAAAGAATAGAAATAGAAGCAAGAAAGAATAATTTGAAAAGAATAAGATGGAATTATAAAATGATGAAATATTGAAAAAGGAAATATCTAAATAAATCTAAAGAAGATGAATATCCAGATAATATCTCCACTATTAATTTCTGGAAATGAATCTATGAAACTAATACTAATATAGATTTCCTGAATATTAATTTATATGAAATATTAAATGAAAATAGAATTAATAATAGAATATCAATAATCACTCCCAATGAACTAGTTTGTGCTATTAAATTCGTTGCAAACTGGAATGCACCGGGAGTTGATAAAATACAAGGATTTTGGATTAAATATTTAGAACAACCAATGAAATATTTATTAAAATTATTTAATGAATGGTTAAACAATCCTAATGAAATACCTCTCACTTTATTCAAGGAAGAACAATATTAATATATAAGAAAGGAGATAAATTAGACCCACAGAATTACAGACAAATAACTTGTTTAAATTGTCTGTTAAAAGTATATCCATCATTATTAAAGATGAAAATAGAAAATCAATTGATGTTAAATCAAATTGAAAAACAATTATCATTAAATCAAATTGGATGTAAAAATATACATATGCATCAAAAGAATGATTATTATATAACACTATAATCATTCAATTATTATTAAAGACTAAATGGAAGTGGGTAGAAACATATTATGACGTCTCCAAAGCATATGATAGTATTAATCATCAATGGATTAAACAATGCTTAATTTATTTTAATATCCCACTAGTAGTAATTAATAGTATATTGTATATATTAAATAATACATGTCTTAATTTGTATTACAATCAAGAAAGAGTGGGTATAGTTAATGTAGAAAGAGGAATAATACAAGGTGACAGCCTATCTCCACTTTTATTTGTATTATCTATTGATATATTATCTAAACAACTAGATAAACAAATAAGCAAATTAAATATTAAAATGAATGGAGAAGAAAAACAAATCCAGTTAAATCACATATTGTATATGGACGATTTAAAGATAATGAATAATAGCCTCGATGAAATGGAAAAAGCCCACAAATTAACTAAAGAAATATTTAATGCAATATGATTAAAAATTAATGTAGAAAAGAGTTTGATAATGAATAATATTAATAGTCAAATAAATGGTGAATTAGCTGAATTACCAAGAGTAACTAATGATAATCCTTATAAATACCTTGGTATTGAAATAGGAGATAAAGTAAACATCAACAAATATTGTACAAGAATATTAAATGATATATCTTCTATTTTATCATCATTAAATACTATGAAGTACAGCAGCCTCAATACAATAAGAAAGATTAATAGTGATATAATCTCCAAATTAAGATATGGATTTTGTATTGTCCCATGGAAACTAGAAGAGTTGGAGAAGATAGATAAACAAATAAGAAATTCATTAATACAACTCCAATTATATAGTAGAAATATCCCAAAAAGTAGATTATATGTTAAAATAAATGAAATGGGATTAGGATTAATGTCAGCAAGAGATGAATGTGGTAAAGAATTATTAAGAATATATTTAAAATATAAGTGGAAATCAAACACAGGAATAGGAGAAATGATAGATGCAATAAAAGAAAATCCAAATGGAATAATTAAAAGAATGAAGAAAGCATTTGGTAAGAAGATTAATTTTAACGAATTAATGAATATAATAGAATTAAATGAAAGAAAACACAATGTAAAGAAAGTGTTTGAATGGGTAAATAATGAATTAAATGATAATTAAGTGAATGGAAAGAAATATGGTGAATATATAAGATGTACAAATGGCACTTTCAATGATAAGAAATTAACAGTAACCACATGGAGGTCATTAAATATAAAAAGAAATGCATTCCTCCAAATAATAAAGATGCAAGAAGGAGTAAGTATGACAGGAAATATTAAATCAAAAATACTCAAAATGATGATTTAAAATATTGTAAACATTGTCCTAACACAATTGCATCTATTAGTCATATCTTGTTAGGATGTAATGAAAAAGAATCAAATATTAAAACATGATTATGTTTGTAAACAAATATATAAACAGATATTAATTACACATTTTAATGAATTTGATGTTATTGATTTTAATAATCCTCCTAAATGTATTAATAATGATGAAATAGTCATAGCTTACAATAAAGATTTATTTGTTAGTGACAATTCATTTCAATGATAGAAGACCAGATATATATTATCAAAATATGAAAGAAAATGATATATTATAGATGTTGTTATATGTCAAGATAATAATTTAGAATTAAATTATATTCATAAAATAAATAAATACAAAGAATTACAAGAGAAATTAAGAAACAATAGAGAAATAATATATTTAGAAATAATACCTGTAATATTATCAATAAATTGATTAATACACAAAGAATCAGTAAGAAGATTACAATCACTGAAATTACAATTAGACTTTTCCAAAATCCTACGAACAATTATTATAAAAAATATGAAAGACTTAATGTTTTATACATTCAATTCTGACAGCACATTAGAAGAAGAATAATCTAATGCGAGCATGTTAGAAATGAACTCTATTACACCAATAGAGCATAATGAAGAAACTGAAATAAACACTTCACAATAATCATAAAATCCAATAATGGATATATCTATTAATTTCTATTATCTTATTCATTTGATTCATAATGAATTAATTCAATGAAATAATACAAATAAATTGTTTATTCATTTTATCTTATTTCTCTTTTATTCTTATTTCTTTTATTATTTATTAAAAACACCATCATTGGGTGTGAATATTTCAAATGAAATAAAATAAATCATCATTGAATTATATCCATTTTTATTTCACCATTTCATTCATTGTCAGATGAACAAAATGTTCATATTCTTCATTGATTTGTTTTTATTCTTTTTTATTTCATTTTCAATTAATTCCAGATTGAATCATTTCATTTCAATTACTATGATTCGTTTTGGTGTGAAACGATATTTTCCACAAAGTGCATTTGATATTCCTTTATAATCAAATGAAGATGGATTACACCATGATTTTGTTTTATCACTTTCTTTACCAACAACAATATCACTTAATCCAAATGAAAACAAATAAACATCTGATTGATTATATAAATAAAATGAATATTGTTGTTGTTTAATATCAAATTTCATCATTCCTTCAATTCTTCCATTTGAATCTAATGAAAATACAAATGATTTTGAATCATATATCCATTCATCAACTTTATCAATTTTAGAATTAACATATCCTCCAAATTTATTTCCTTCTTCATCTTCAATAATAATTATTATATGTTCTTTATTCTTTATTTAATTCCTTTTATATTGTAGTTCTATTCATCTTTATCTCTTTCATTTCCAGTGTTGGGGGTTTTCTATTTCTCCTTTCTTCTTCTTTTTTTTTTCTTCTTCTCATTGTATTTATCTCATTTCTTCATTTCTTCTCATTAGATTCTTTTATATTTCTCTTTCGTTCTTCTGCTTTTCTTATTATTTATTTTTCTATATCATTTCCTCATTTCAATTAACTTAAATCTTTACTTCTTTCCCTATTTTAATTAATGTTTATTCTTTTATGCTTTTCTTCATTTCATTTTGTAGTATTTCTCTGTGTTTCTTTCTTGATTTTTCTTTCATTAATTTTCTTCTTCTTATATCATCATTTCTTCCTTTTATTCATTCTCCATTCTAATTTGCATCTTCATGTATTTCTCTTTCTTTTTACTAATTCATATTTATTATTAATATGATTAGTAGTATCATCAATTGTTTGTTGAATGTTTGGAAGTGTTTTTACTACTTCTATAAATAATTAAGTGTTTTTGTTTATTAACTCTTCATTTTATTGCTTAATTCGTTAAATAACATTTATAAAACATATCAAATTATTTATTGTTTCATCATTTCATCGTTATATTAATTAGTATTTCTTTTATTCTTTAAATATATTTGTTATTTGTTATTTATTTGTTATTTTTTATTTTATGTTTTATTCTTCATTGTTGTTATACTTTCAATTACTTCTATTCTTATTTTCTATCAACTTTTTATGTAACACGTTATTTCTTTTTCTTTTATTATTTTATTTCTTATCTTTACTGTGCTTTTCTTTCCTTTCTTTTTATTATTTATTATTCTTCCTTTTCTACTTTTTATTCATCTCCTTCTTTGGTGTATTGTCTTTCTTCTGTTCTTTTGTTTTACTTTTTGTTCGTTGACTCTCCATTTCTTTAGTTTTGTTGAATATGATTTTCTTTTCTTTACAACAAACAAAAACATAGTCAGCAACAAATCAATAAAATTTGAGATAAATTTTACAATGAAAAAAAACCTAAAACAAAAAAAGAAAAAGAAAAGAAAAAATAAAGAATGGAGGAAGTTACAACGGACAATGCAATGATAATCGAAGAAGATGCTATTGAAGGACTTCATTTATTTGGAGATAAAAAAGAAATGACATTATTTAAACATTTAAATAGAACACATACAAAGATAGGAGAAAAGATGATAAAAGAATGGATTAAACAACCGTTGATAGACAAAGACAAGATAAATAAACGATTAGAATTAGTCGAAGGGTTTTATGACAATTCAGGGATTCGACTAAAAATCAAAAATGAAGAATTAGCAATAATACCAGACTTAGAGAAATTAATAAAAGGGATAAATAAAAGTGATTTAGAAAGTATTGTTAAATTATATGAAGCAGTAAGAATTAGTAAAAATATTAAAGAAGAATTAAAAGAAATGAATAATAAAAGTATAGAAAAAGAAATAATAGAACCATTAGAAAAAATAACTGAAGAAATGGAAAAATTTGAAGAAATGGTAGTAACACTTATTGATATTGAAGAGACACAAAATCACGTATTTAAAATAAGAGAAGATTTTGATGAAGGGCTTCAAAAAATAAGAGAAAGTCATAAAAAAGTAGAAGAACTTTTTGAAAAGTGTTTAGAACAAGCAGCAAATGACCTTAATATTAAGACAGATAAAATTAAAATTGTTGAACATAACAATAATTTAATATTAAGAGTATCTAAAAGTAATGAAAAAGAAGTTAAAAAGAATAAAAAATATACTATTATTCAAACACTTAAAGGAGAATGTAAATTTACATTTAAAGAAATGCAAACACTTAATGTTAAAAGAGATAAACTTAAATTAAAAGAAGAAGAAATTAATAAAAAGTTTATAGAAGAAATAAATAAAGTAGTAGAAGGATATAAAGAAAAGTTTCAAGAATTAGAAAATATGATTGGATATATTGATTGTATTCAATCGTTTGCAACTGTTTCTATTGATAATAATCAAGGATATAGTAAACCAACAATATATGAAAGTGAAAAAGGAATAATTAAAATTATAAAAGCAAGACATCCATTAATTGAGAATAATAGTATTAATTCATTTATTGAAAATGATATTGATATTGATAGAAAAGAAACAAGATTTCAAATTATTACAGGACCAAATATGGGAGGAAAATCAACATATTTAAGAATGATTGGATTATGTGTTATTATGGCACAAATTGGAATGTTTATTCCATGTTCAGAAGCACATATTTCTATTTGTGATAAAATAATGTGTAGAATAGGAGCAGGAGATAATATTGTTGAAGGAATGAGTACATTTATGTCAGAAATGAAAGATACATCAGAAATTATTAAAAAATCAACAAAAAATTCATTAGTTTTAATAGATGAATTAGGTAGAGGAACATCAACATATGATGGATTTGGAATTGCTTGGGCAATTTCAGAATATTTGGCTATTGACATTGGATGTTATTGTGTTTTTGCAACTCATTTTCATGAAATTACAGGATTAGAAAAAAGAGTAACTGGTGTTATAAATAAACATGTTGAAGCTGATATTATTGATAAACAACTTGTATTAAAATATAAAATTAATAATGGAAGTACTGATCAAAGTTTAGCAATTTATGTTGCTGAATGGGCTGATTTTCCTCATGAAGTTGTTGAGTCTGCAAAAAGAAAAGCAAAAGAACTTGATTTAGACCAACCTGATTCTAAAAGGAAAATTGAATTATTCACAAATAAAATCCCTCTTTTAGATGATGAAATTCCTCAAATTACTTCTGAAGATATTCTTAATGGAAAGTCAATTATTTCTCAGTTTATTCATGACTATAAATCTACTCCTTCTGATCAACTCATTTCTCTTCAAAATAAATATCATCAACTCCTTCTTTCAAATCCTTTTTTAAAACAACTTGAACTTATTTCACTAAAATAAAATTTATTGTTTCTTTAGTGTATTATTTTTTGGTTTTATTATATTCTTTTTGATTTCTTTACAACATCTTTTCTTTTTTTGTGTGTGTGTATTTCTTTGTTGCTTCCATAGTATATTTGTTCTATCTTTTTATTTGATTTACATATTGTTATATCATCGATTTTCTTTATCTATGTTCATTATCATTTCTTATTTCTTCTTTGGTTAGTTCAATCTTTGTTTTTGTTCATTTATTCTGATGATCTCGTTATATTTCTTTCTTGTTTTTATTATTCTTTTTTTTTATTTTCTTTTTCTATTTGAATAGTTTTGGTTATTCTTAGAATATGTATTGAAAGAATGAGTGTTTAACATCATTGTTTATACAAACGATTGTTTTGGTTGTGAGTTAGTTGTATTGATGATAAACACTTTGATCTTTTATTCTTTCATTGGAACATTTATTATTAATTTTAATGTTGTGCATTGAAATTGATAATCAATAATTAAAGTATTTGTAATCTAAAACATTATTTATTGATTATTTCCTTATTATAAGGATATTCATTCCATTTATGTTTGAATAAATATCATTATATTCATCTTTTTATTATTTCTTTTATTTGTTCTAATCTTTTGTTCATTCACTTCTAATATTTATTGTTTTTGAATACAATTAAAGTTGCACAACATTAAGTTGATTATGATTTTCTTTTATTATTATTCTTACAATTTCATCTATTCTTATTCTTTCTTTTGGTTCTTGTTGCCATGACTTTTCAATAACATCTTTAATATCTTCTTCTACTTCTTGTATTATGACTGGTCGATTACCTGTTGATATAAATTCTGCTAGTTTCCAAGGAAATTTAAATTCTGATTTAGGAAATGGATCTTGCCATGTGATGATTTGTAACATTGTTATTGAAAATGAATATATATCTGATTGCATTTTGTAATGTTGATGATTTAATACTTCAGGTGCCATGTATTTTGGTGTTCCTATTCCTTTTGTGAATGTCATATTTGTCATCATCATATTAATATTTCTTGCACTTCCAAAATCCGTTAATTTACAATTAACTTCAATATTATCATCAAGTGATACAACAAGAAAATTATCTGGTTTAATATCTCGATGTAATATTCCATTTGAATGAAGATATGAAATTCCTTTTGCTCCATCTATCATAAATTTGATTCTTATTTTCTTTGATATTTCTGTGATGTTTCTTTTATTCATTATATCTTGTATTGATCCATATTTTGCAAACTCTGTTACCATACATATTTTATTAGGAATAAATACTGCTCCATAAAATTGAATGATATATTCATCTCGAAATTTATCTAACATTGCTACTTCTTTCTCAAATTCTTTCTTTTTATCTTCACTTTCTTCAACTTGTTTCATTTTCTTAATTGCTACTTTATTTCCTCTAAATTCTCCAACATAAACAATTCCAAATGATCCTTCTCCTATTTTCTTTTCTTCTTTTATTTCATCAGGATCAAGTCGTGTTGATATTTCTGTTTCTCCTTCAATAGAAATACTTTTGATTGTTTCTTCTTGTGCTTTATTAAGTGTTTTACTAATTATCATTATTTTATCTTTGATTTTAGTTGTACATTTGATTGTAATGAATAATTCAAATTCACATGCATATCCTCCTTCAATTGTAATGACATTTGGGTTTATTCTAATTGAATATTTCTCATTTTCTTCTTTACTACTTATTTGTATCTTCATCTTCTCTTTCTTTGAATTTCCAATACAAATCAATTCTCGTATTTCTTCATTCACTTTAATTTCTTCTCCTTCTTGAAGTTCAATTTCTTTCTTATTTGATAATATCCCATCTCCAAGTGATATGAAATTGATATTTGATTGTGTTATTTTGAATATTGTTTTGGTTTGAAATGAAGTGTATATTCTCTTTATTATTGGTGTTTTTTTTTCTTATCCTTTTATTCATTTCTTTTTCAATTATTTTTGTGTTTTATTTTATATTTTAAACTAATCACATATAATGATTGTATTGAAAATCATGAATAATTTGAGATGACCTATCAATGTGTTATTATTATGAATATTATTTAACACTAATAACAATTAGTTATAATAGAAATAAAGTAAAAGTGTTAATGAGATGAAGATGTAGTATTTATAATGAATATTGTTAATAAATTTAGAAATAACAAAATTCATTCAATTAAATTAATAAAAATGTGATGAGAATAGAAAGAATAACAAATACACATGATGTACCATCAATACTCTTTTGATTATTTATGTCATTATCTGTGCTATTATCTGTTTCACTTTCATCGTTGTTTGATTGTTTAGTATCTGATTCTTTATTTTCATTTTTGTTTGGTTCATGAGTTTTTTCATCTTCTGGGTTGTTGTTTGTTTGTTGATTATTGTTATTCTTTTGTTGAGAATCATTATCTTTCTTTTCTTGTTTGTCTTTTGCATCATCTTGTGTTTTTGGTATTTCATTATTTTTATTATCACCATTTTCTTGTGTTTTTTCTGACTTTTCTTTTTGTTGATTTCCTCCTTGAGTTGATGGTGTTTGTGTTTCTGATTGTTTTTTGTCTTTTTGTTTTTTATTTTCTTCTCCTTGTGATGATGGGTTATGATCTTTTTGTTGTTGTTTTGTTTTGTCTGAATTTTCTGATTGTGGTGCTTTTGGTGTGCTTGACTTTTGGCTTTCTGTTTGTTGTTTTGTTGTTTCTGCTGATGTTGTTTCTTCTGTGGTGATGTCTTTTGGTTGTTTTTCTCCTGTTGTTGAATCAACATCTGATCCTTTTGTTTCTTGTGTTTCTTTTGGTACTGCCTGTTCACTTGTAGGTACTGCTTCTTTTGTTGATTGTGTTGATGTTGGTTCTTCTGCTCCTTTATCCGTTGTAAGTTTCTCGTCTACACCAGTTTCACCTTTTAAATGTATATTATGTAGATTAAACAGTCTTTTGTGTTGTTTTGAATATATTTGTGTATGTATTACTTTTGTATTGTTAATACTCTTTGTTCCACTTGTAATTACAATAATCAATAGAAATGTAAGCATTGAATGAAATGTATTTAAGTTATTCTCTTTAAATATACTCTCTTCTTTTTCTATTATTTTCTTTTATTTTTATTTTATTTCATAATGACTCAATCATTTCATTCTTCATTTCATCATATTGTTGTATTATTGTATTTTGAACTTCAATGATAAATAGAATGAAATGAAATATTAAATTAAAATTCATTTCATTTTTATAATTTATTCAACAAAATTAAATAAACATTAAATTTAATAAATAAATCATAAACAATAATAACAACAATGAATGAAATGAATAATAATTTCAATTCATAATTCAAATCATTATTATTTTAAGAATATATTCATCATTATTCATATTATTTTCTTATTTTATTCGATTCATATTTCATTCTAATATTAACTTATTTCTATTATTTTCGTATTGATTTGATTATTCTTTATTTATGTATTTATTTTATCTTGTTTCTATCACTTGAATTGCCTTGTTATATTAAAATATTATTATTTCTTCTTTATTCTCTTAATTTATTTCTTTATTGTTCACATTTCATTTCTTATAGAAAATAAAATAATAAACAATATAATTATGCCATTATTAATTTGAATAAATTGGAATCAAACATTATTTAAATATAATATCATCATTATGTAATATATTAATTATATTTATTCTTTTATCTTCTTTATGTTCATCGTTTTCATTCATCAATCTTTTATTTTATCGTTTAATGATGTTGTTAATGTATAAGTTATTCTATTACAGTATAAATCATAAAATATTTTTTATTTGTTAGATATAAAATATATAACCAAATTAAGTTAATGATTACAAGTTACTGATACTAATATGTTTGAAGTGAAGAAAATTAAAACAATACATAATATTTAGTGATAACAATTGAATAAATAGTATCAAAAAAAAATAAAATATATTAAAAATGGATAAAATGAAATAATAATATACTATAAACATCATAGTAATAATTTAACAATCAATGAACATAATTCACACTAATAAATTAATGAAGTTGAAATAATTTAAGAATAAATAATGAATAATTTTAAAGATTACTAAAGAATAAAAAAGAAAATATGATGATGATGAGATTAAATCATAAATATGATAAGTTCAAATCATTAAACATAATATAAAAAGAAGAATAAGAAAGTAAATAAAGAAATAAAAGAAATAGAAAGACAATACAAATAAAGAATGATAAAAAGAAGAATTGAAAATATAATAGTGAAATATTTTAAATTAAGAAATAAAGAAAAAGAAATAAAGAAAAAGAAAAGGGATATATAACAATAAAAAATCCAAAAATAAAAGAGAAGGAAAATAAAATCAAATAAACAAGAAGCGGCTGTAGTTTTACGTGTAAAACACTTATTTGTAATTTAATAATTATGAAATACTAAGTTAAATTAATAAGAGTCGTAGGATCGAAACCTGCCAGTCGCCAACATTTTTTTAAATTAATGAAAAAAAGATATTAATTACAATAAACATAAATAACAAATTTAAACAAAATAGTTTAATGATAGAACTAACTTCTAAATATTAGATTAATTAAATCAAATGTTAATAGGTTTATCTTCATAATTTCTACATTTTAACTCATTATTTATTAAATTGTTGGTTCTTGGTTCTTGTTGGTTGTTATATTTTATATTTCATTTTATTCTTCTATTTCTTATTTATTTCATCATTATATCTTCTTATAAAATTATGTAATTCCTATTTCATTATTTATCATTACATTAATTCTTTTCTTTCTTGAATTTTAATCCAATTCTTTTTATTTCTATTCTATTTCTATTCTATTTCTATTTATTTCTCTATCTTATTTTAATTCTCTTTCATTGTTCTTTTAATTATCTTGAATATTCATTTAAATGTTTTGGATTAAAATGAAATCTTTCATCATTTCTATTAATTCTTCTATTTCATATTTCTATTTTAATACTATCATTTATATCATTAACATATATTGATGTCTTCATTATTTCTTTATATCTTATTTCTTTATTCTTTTCTTTTATATCTCATTGACAGTATTATTAAAACTGTGTTTAATAAAATTATGAATTTCTCTTTAATTAAATAATCCTGGTTTTGAAAGGCATTAACATTAGTGATTGTTCTTGAGAATACAACAAATGAGAAGAAACAGAAGAAATATAACTAATTTGAATGAATAGTTTACAAAAATCTTCATTTAATGGGATAATATTATTTAGATTTAATTTGTTAATTTATCATTGAAATAATTCACTCTTCATTATTTCATTTTCTAGTTCATTTCTTCAATAAGATTTATCAATTTATTTCATTCATATTTCAGTCACTTTTATTAATATTCATGTTCTTTTGTTGATAATTAATAAATAAATAAAAAGAGAATAAATCAATAAAATAGAAGATGAATGAGAAATTAAAAGATACAAAAGTGAAAAATATAAAGATACGAAAGAATAAAAAATAAAAGAAGGAATAAAAACAACCAAAAGTGAAATAAATCCAGAATAGTTCTATGAAGAAGTAGAAGAAATTGAAATATAAAAGATAAATGGTTAATAATAAATATACAACCAGATCACAATATAAATGATAGAGATGAATAGAGAATATATACAATGATGAAATTAAATAATAAAGAAATAATAAATAACATACAGAAAAAAAGAAGAATAATAAATGAATAAACATAAGTAAGAAATCTAATAGATATAAAAGATGATATTAAGATATGCAAATAATAATAAAGTAAAATGATAAGAAGAAATAAAAAGAATAGAAAGAAGAAATAATTATAGAATAATAAAATCATAAATTACTCATAACACTTTATTTCCATTATTTTAATTAACTGAAGATTATATGTATCTTATCATGGCAACGAAAAAAAGCAAATAATTGAAAAAGAAGAGAATGAATGATATAAAAGAATAAAAAGAAAGTAAGAAGTAGAATATGATGAAGAAAGAATAAAAGTAGAAAGGAGAGAATATAAAAAGAAAGAAGATAAAGTGTAATAAAACAAAAGAGATATTAAAAGAAGAAAAGAATGAAAAAATAAAGGATGCAAATTTTATTGAAACAAATAAAAAAAGCGCAAAATTTAATGATGCAAAATTTAATGATGCAAAATATTTAGCAACATATTTTATTGATGCAAAATATTTTGAAATAAAAATAATTCATCATTTGATATTATTATATTTGATAATAAATTATATTATGTATTAAATACATCATATTTATTTATTATTGATCTTTCTTTTTATTATTTCATATATTAAATTATTATTCATTCATTTATTATTTATATTTCATTTATTAAATAAAATGAAAATGAAATTGTAAAATATCAATTAAATATTCATGAATAATAATTTATTAATATTTAATAATTGAAATAATAAATAATAAAGTAACAATAATGATATATTCAATATATTCTTTATTTGATTTGTTCAATATTAGATTATTCTATTTCATTATCATTTCATTGTCTTCATTATTTTATTTCATTTATTATTTTTTAAAATCAAATAAACAATAATATTGATATTTATTCATCATATTAATTTAATATAATAAATATACACAACATTTCAGAATAAAGAATGAATAATTAAGAATGGAAATATTGATTATATTCGATAATTTATTCAACATAAAATCAATAAAACATATAATTTGATAATACACAAATGAAATAATAAAGAAATATACAATACTCAAGAACTAATAAAAAGAAATAAAAAGAATGAATGAAAATAAAATTGATAAATAATAGAAGAAAAAAATAGAAACAACAACGAAAAACAAATAATATAAAAAGAATATAAATATATAAAAGAATAAAAATAAAGTAGAAGAAGAATATAAAAATAATAAATCACAAAGAGATGATAAAAGAAGAAAAGAAGAAATAAAAAGTGTATTTTTATTGTAAAAATTAGAAATATTCAATAACAAGTGTCTAATTTAATGATGTAAAATGATTAACAATATTTTATTAATGAAAAATATTTTACTCTTTTTTATGTTTATTATTTATATGTATAATTTAAACATGATGTTTATTATATATTCAATCATATGTGTTATGTTATTATAACATATAATAAGTGATAAAATATAAATGAAAATGATATGAATATATAACATAGATAGAATATAAAACAAAAGAATAATAAGAATAAATGATAAATAA